CCCCAAAACCCCAAAACCCCAAAACCCCAAAACCCCGCAATTCAAATTAATGAACTCATTGTGAAATATTAGATATTATTATTTTTAATCTTTTAATGTAAAAACAAGAAGAATAAAAAGTAGAATCAAACAAAAAATCAAGATCTTTAAATAAGAGGTGCCGTCCAAATCAGTATCAAAATAAAGTAAAATTCAGACAAAAATTTGCCAGACTGATTCTTAACAAATATAGGTGAAAATTATTGAGGAATTGCTACCAAATCAATAGAATTTGCAAGAGATACATGGTTTGAAAAGAATCAGAATTAGTTATGAAAGTTCTGAAGAAAAATTCACATCAAGCAACAATGCGATTAATGATCAAAATTAGTCTCAAGATATGATTAGAAAGTTAAACACTAGTAATGTATTTCTCAGACCTAATGAAGATGTTGAAAATGCAGCCTTAGAGTCTCAAATAAATGCTGAAGAATATTAAAAAATATCTGAAGAAAGAAAATCAATCTCTGATTAACAACGTATTGATGAGCATAAATCATACTAATTATTTTTATAGGTAAAATGTCTCATAGTTAAAACTAAGATCGTTTGGAAATAAAATTTGAAGGCTCTTTGGGCTCGGGTGATCTTATTAATCAACCCACTTACTCGGATGGCAAGAAGAATGAAAAACCTACCCGAAGTTATTTAGAAAGCGAAATTGTTAGAACAGGCACTAATCTACATACTCTGAGCTAAGAGTTCATAACTTTCAATTCTAATCTCTAAAATATTAGCCAACAACACCAAGACTTCAGCAAATAACAAGACATTAAAATGTTATAACTTGATAAAAGATTATAAAACTAAGAAAAGATTAGCAAAAATATTTTAGAAAATATGAAATAACTGGTTGATCATACAAAAATACAAGAGAGCCACAATTAAAGAAATGAGGAGATTTTTGAAAAAATCCTTGATCAATTGAAACTTATCAATAATAATTTAGTGGCTAATATGGGACCAAATATCTAATATAAGAAAGACCTAATTTTGGGATGATCATAAGAATGTATACTTTAGATAAAATTTTTACATAGAGATGATGACCTTCTGAATCTATGACGTTTTTTTGAAAATTTAAATTCAATTAATCTTCTATATATAATAATTTATACTATTCCTTTTGCTTATTTCAATAATCAGGGGTTTTTGCGATAAACTTGAAATATAGTACTCATGGGGTTTTGGGGTTTTGGGGTTTTGGGG